TTACCATAGTAACTATTGTTTACTACTCAATATGTCATTGTAATTATATCCGTGTCATGACTTCGGAAACTTTGAACATAATCGTGGGTGTAAGCCTCGCCTCAGCTAAACCACGGTCACACAGATGGCCTTGACCTTCCAAGGTTACACTTCACGACCAAGACCGCGTTTACTATGTAAGTAACCTAGAGTACCTACATTTTCGACGACCTCCGTAGCCGAGTGGTTCGCACGCCGGTTTCAAGGTGTCGCCATCACTGAGGTCCCGGGTTCGATTCCCGGTCGGGTCAATGTAGAAAATGAACTTTTCTATATTGTCTCGGGTCTGGGTGTTGTGGTACCTTCGTTGTCTCAGATACTCCATAATACGGGGGCTTTAGCTACTCATCTTGGAATCTGAGCAATGTGTGTGATGTTGTTAAATATTTATTTTATTTATTTATTTATATTTATTTTTTAATTATTTGTTCCAAAAGCGTTTATGGCTAAAATTTACACAACTCCATCACAATCGCTTATACATTTGAAAAAGATTGTGATAGATTTGTAAAAATAGACAACTAGGCCACGGATATGGATTTTTTTTTTAAATAAAAATTGCCTTTTGTGAATGCTCCTCTCGCTAAGTGCAGTTGTAAAACTCTGTAACATTACCCTTATAACTGTAGTAGGGTTACCACATATGCAGCAGTTCTATTTGAATAATACGGATGAAGCCGATGTTCTTGCGTCCTAGGAGGTACTGAGGGTAAATGAAACCTCGTCATAAATTGAGCATAGTTTTTTATTCCAAAAACAAATACATAGCATATTTTACAAAAGAACTGTTATTAGATTGTTTTTTTCGCGTATCTTGTATGTATATAATACTAGTGACCGCCAGCGACTTCGTCCGCGTTTTCCATTATTTCTTCGCTCATGATAGTTGCAGCGTGATGCTATATAGCGTAAAGCCTTCCTCGATAAACGGTCTATTTAATACAAAAATAATTTTTCAATTCGAACCAGTAGTTCCTGAGAATAGCGCGTTCAAACAAACAAACAAACTCTTCAGCTTTATAATATTAGTATAGTATAGATTTTTTATTACCTCACATATTCAGAACCGTTGAACGGATTTACATAATTAAGGTATCGTTAAAGTCTTCTTAGCAACCGAAGCGTTTTTAGGTAGGTGACGCTAAAAAAAACAAATATGGCGGCTGTGCGAAGCCATTGCACTTAATGATTATTGTTTGTTTCGAATATACAATATGTGTATTAAATTAAAGGACTCAATACAAGGATTTTATTTATTTAACAAACTTTATTGTACATTAAATTGGTACAAGAGGCGGACTTAATGCTATAAGCATTCTCTACCACTCAACCTTTGGGATACAGAAATACACGATGGCGGCATAAAGTTTATATTTTAAAGTTTATGTTTATATAAGAAGGGTATATCATAATTATCATTACCGTAATACTACTAAAAATAATACAATGAGGAAGTTTAATTTTTGTAACAAAATAAATAATTATTATTATTATAAAAATAAATAATAATAATAAAAAATATAAAAGACCAGACTGTATGAAAAAAATATAAATTTTATGCAGTCGGGGGCGTGCTCAAAGAGAGAATTATTTGACTCATTTTATTTGCATCACGCGCGTTTTTTTTTAGAGTGTTTTTTTTTTGGATCGGGGAATTATAATTTTTTTACAAGCTTTTATTTGTCTAGTATGTTAGTTAGCGCGCAAATCTTGGCACTCAAGTTCCCAATGGCCGATGGATTTGAAATTTTGCATAAACATGTAAATCAGATGACAAAGCAATATTATGGTGTCGGTAAGCTGATGTGATGATGAAGTCAGAAGGTGGTCATAGGAACTTAGTGGTAAAATAACGCAACTGCATCATGTTTGGGCTCGTTAGATACGTCTTTATGAGAACAACAACATACTGAGACAAAAGTAAAAAATAAAAATATAATTTAAAAAAGTTTCTCAAAAACAAGCTTTTATTTGTGCGCACTAAAACGTAAATAAATGAATTCTAAACGTTTAAAGTACTTACTTAGAATCAACTTTTTCTCCAACACCAATTGATATGGAATCTTGTAGCGCTAAATCGGAGACGAGGAAATACACATATTTTTTTCGCGCTACAAGCTTTTCAAGTCAATTACTGTTGGAGAAATGTTTGATTATAAGTATAATATATATATTTTTTTTTTAATCAGAGGAACACTCACTCTTCACTATTTTAATCAGTTTTATCTTATTCCAATGATTGATATTGTTGGGGAGCTCGATAGCGCAGTATTAAATACTTTCGTTTTAAATCACGGCAGTTAAGGAACTCTCTTAAGGACCGTTCATATGACGGGTGACTAAACAATGTGTAATATATATTTTGTCAGCTTTTTTCGTTAATTTTGCAAACACCGACAAGTTATCAGGTTTTATCCGGATTTTTATTGATTTCACGTGGTAACCCTGAGTGTGGGCTGGATTATTTGCTCGTTTAATAGCGGGTGATGTCATTCGACACGATGCACTATTTGCGGATTATATAGGGTGCGTTTTATATACGCTGACCTCGTTTCGAAGGACTAATACTCTATGCAACTACTCACATCTCAAGGACTTGCTACACTGGGAATATAAGTTTGCTTAATAAATGAATTTTGTACAAACAACCATAAACGACCGCAGTGAACGTCTTGCAAAGAATAAATAGTTTAGTGTCTATTGTTATATATACATATATAGATTTAAAAAAAAAAAACAATCAAGTCGCTCACTGAATACTACAGTGGCACAACTCAAAAACCATAATTTCGAGAAACGCTCTCCGAAGTTATGAAAATTTAATATATTTATAATTATGAAAACCAAATTTTTTAGTATAACAGTTAAATCGTTTGTATTATATTATTACTGTTAAGTATTTTATTATTTCTTTAAATTATCTATGGTATGCCACCACAATGTTGTGGCGTTTTCTCGAAATAATGGTTTTTGAGTTGTGCCACTGTACTATTCAGTGAGCGAAGTGCGAGTCGGACTCGTGCACTAGGTTTCCGTACACAAAACGAGCAAAAGTCACGTGATTTTTTTTTGTATGAGAGCCCCCTTGATTATTTATTTTATTCAGGTTTTTAGTATTTGTTGTTGAAGCGGCACCATAAATACATAATTTGTGAAAATTTCAACTGTCTAACTTTCACGGTTTATGAGATACAGCAAAAAAATCACATATGTTGTATATGAGCCTACTTAAGTATTAATTTTATCCTTAATTTTTTTTTTATGAAGCCGTGCGTATGTGACATTGATTCTTTCCATGATTTAAGAAATAAGACAGAAGATAACTGTTTTGTTCTTAATTCGCAATGCAAACTTTAAACAAATAAGATTGAATTATTATGTTTGATGAATTTTGCATTCATGCTGAGATGAGATGGATTTCAGAGTCCGTCCCTGGCACAAAAGCGAGAGTGCCAGGGACGGACTTGACAAATTGTACTTTTTTAAAGTATTTTTTATTAATAATATTTTTCAGTGTAGCATTGTGATTGCGAAATAAATCAAATGTAATAATTAAAACAAATTTTCATATTTATCGAAAGTTTAAATATTTTTAAAGATATTTCTTTCGTCTGTTCGTGTGGATTGCCTGAACATTGATGAGAATACGCTCTGTAGTAGCGGTATAGTAACGAGTGCTTGAAAGATTCGACAGTCCTGTTAGGTATCGGGTAGATCAGTGGTTAGAGGTCACGGGTTCTCAGAGTGCCAGGGACAAAGTATACCGTCATTAAGAATAAATAAAGTCGAATTTAAGGACACAGACACAATCATCGATGTTTTGATTTATATTTTCAATTTGTAACTTTTTTATAACACATATTTATTAAGATTAAGCGGCAGAAATTGTCATACATTTTTTAGATGTGTACCTACATAAAAAATGACGTTTTTATGCATTTAAAATTTTTGTGTTTAAAACCATTTCATTCACAGCAAGTTAAGTGTCCAATTTGAATGTATATAATGTGGTGTATAATAGTATCACTAGGTGGCGCTGTACAAATAATGCATCGCAGTGTGTTTTTATTTTTCTCGTTACATAACTTACTTTTGTTTGTTTATACGTTTAAAATTTTGTCTATACGTTCCGGAATATTGCAGTTTCATTGTCTCATTCCCTGGCTTGATATACCCTAGGACATTAAGCTTTAAATGTAGGGATGGGCAAATGGGAAAAAAATACCGATATATCGTATCCATATTTTTCAAATGTATCGATAAATATATCGATATATTGATATTTTTATTATATTGCGTGGAGGGTCATGGTCCATCCTCCTTAACCATCCATAAGGAAGGCCTGAGCCCCTGCAGGGACGTAAAAAAGGGCTGGTGATTGATATTTTCTGTGTAATAAGCGATTATCTATAAAAATTATAAAAATATTCGTAATTTTAAAACAAATAAACTCCTGGCTGTTTTGTTATTTAAAATAGGTACATAAAGCCAAGAAAACAACATCTACAACACAGCAAAATTACATTATTCAAACAAATCAGTATTTTTAACATCAGGAGCACTCTCACTGATACCAACCAAACCAACAAGCAGTGTCAATGTTATAAAGAAACAAAAAAGACAAGCAGGTCATAGACTGTAATGCGCAGACAGCATAGCTTTAAAAAAATATATCTTTTATGATATGAATTTGATATCTGAAAATAAATATCGAAAGCCGATATATCGCGGGAAAAATATAGCTGATTTATACATCAATATTTTGATATATCGATATTTTTCAGAAAAATATCGATATTTTGATATATCGATAGTTTTTGCCCAATCCTATTTCATTGACTTCACCTAGCTTAACATACCTTTGTATACTTATTTGTCTAATATCTATTTTCACTTGTCCACAGTACCAATCACAAGTAAAACGCAACTCGCAGCCGAGTATCTCGAGTCCTGTCGGAAGCATGGCACGGCGCCGATTGACTGCGTACTACATCAGATCAAGGTACAGTATCCCCTTTTTTATGTCAAAAGGGAAAATGCGTTACGCACTATCTCGGCTGCCTGACAGGGCGCTAGAGGGGGTGTTGAACTCTCCCCCGATGAGGGTGCGGGTATTTAATTAGTGGGTAGGCCACAAAATACCCTGGGAATACCCTCGTTCGGGGGTAGCACCCGAAACCAGGTACAGTAAGCCTAGCGAAAATCTTTAAGTTGATAATGATTACCATTTTCTATAAGCGTAACATTGAGTTAAAATGACGCATGATGTCACACCTTTGTACATTTTCTACATATTTATGACGTAGCGAGCCCCCACTCCTCGACTTTAATGCCTATTATCTAAGCCAGCTTATCTAATTTCTTTATTTTTTACCCATGCATCATCTCTTTCATCATCATCATCAACCTTTTTACGTCCCCACTGCAGTTATGATGGTTAAGGAGGATGGGCCATGACCCTCCACACTTGCCCGATGCGGATTGGAGGGTATAAACGACTGCAAATGCAGCCGGGACCAACGGCTTAACGTGCCTTCCAAAGCACGAAGTAGCTCGAGATAATAATTTTTGGTCACCCATCCCGTGACCGACCCTTGGGAAAGTTGCCTAACAACAACGATCGCGGGCCGCGGCGGTTATCCTCTACCCTACCGAGCTACTTTAGTATGTATTAGCATCTAAATACATTGAAATGAACAGGAGCTTCCCGAAACTTCGATCGGTGGCGTCGTGCGGGCACCCCGTCTCACGTTGTCAGACTGCATCTTACAAGGCTCGGCGCCGGCGGACGCCCTCGAAGCGGTACTTAGGAAGGTCCAATTTAGAAGACTGGAGATAGACCACGCTGCCTTAGACGATGAAGGAGCGGTGAGTGATTGATTCCCTCTATTGGCTACATGACTGTTCTGCTATAAGTTTTTAAAACTTTCATTATAAAAACAAGGTATTTTTTACTTTTGGCGACATCTATCTTTGTTAAGTGTAAACTTTAATAGTGCTATTAATAAACAAGGTTTAGCGTCAGAGTAAATTGCAAATGTAATTTAAGTATTAGTTCAAAGTCATATTATACAGAGTATAAGCAAACCTAATACCTTCTAGGATTAAATATTACACCCGTAGAACCTCATACTAGGTTAACCTTTGCCAAGTCTCTGTTTAATAATATGAATTTTGTCTAATACTAAGTGAAGTCTCAGTGTAAATTCCCTGTGAACGTAGTTTGCATAGAAACTGCTAGATGGCGTAGTGACGATACGTTGTTTGGAGGGATGGATTACAATTTCTTGAACTTTAAACGCTCATTGCTGAAAATCGCATTTTCGCATTGATTCATTTTTTTTTCTCCAAAAGGTGGTAAAGAATAAAGGAAATCATATTTTTATTATATACTAGTGGCCGCCAGCGACTTCGTCCGCGTTTTCCATTATTTCTTCGCTCCTACTAGTTGCAGCGTAATGTTATATAGCCTAAAGCCTTCCTCGATAAATAGTATATTCAACACAAAAATATTTTTTCAATTCGAACCAGTAGTTCCTGAGATTAGCGCGCTCAAACAAACAAACAAACTCTTCAGCTTTATAATATTAGTATAGATTTTAAATTGATCAGGGGAAACTTTCAGTTATGTGACATTTCGAGCCGTGACATCATATCACAATAAACATTTACAATAAAGACGTCGGCGTTTATAGAAGTGTGACGTCACACGTTGCTCGGTCACGGCTGAGCGCGTTTCGCAATTTCCAACATATTGTTTTTATTCTTATAATTGCTAAGTAGCCGCTTTAATATCGTTAAGTCAGTAACACAGATGTTGTGCTGGGGTTCGGGATAAAAATGAATACCGATTGAACGGATTTTGATGCGGTTTTTTTCATAGATAGGGTGATTCAAAAGGAAGGTTTTTATGTATAATACAAGACAACGTGGGCGAAACCGCTGGCGGTAAGCTAGAATCCAATAAAGGCTTACTCTTAGAAAAAAACTTCTAACGAAGAAAGGGGACGACAAGGGTAGTATGGGCACTATTGGTATGAAAATAAAACACTCAGTCATCAATTTTTCATTCAAAATGCAATATTGGAAAATATTTTAAATGAAATATGCTTATAAAATCTACCAATCCCAGGTACACTGAGATGGGACTCGAACCCAGGAGCTTTCGTAATCCGGGCGAGTGCTCTAACGACTGAGCTACCCAGGATCTAACAGGACTGACGAATTTTTCAAGGACACGTTACTTTTCGCTACTAGTTATCTTCAAAAGCTTCTAATGCTCACGAAACAGGGTATCGGAAGAGCACAGTGTTATTATTAAGTAAAAAACAAAACTTAAATATAATTCAAAAATATATATATAAAAAATAATATATAATAAATAAATAAAAATAAAATATTGATTTACGATAATTTCAAGCGCAATATCCATAAATGAAACAACGGTTCCATCGCATTTGTGTTTAGTTTTATTGACATTTCGGACCCTTTACAGGTTCCGTGTTCACATAAGACTAAGGTGCTGATTGTCTTTTTAATTAAGAGTATAGAGCTACCTTTGAAAAAAATCTATTAAAACGCCAAGCTTCCATAGAAACTTCGGCCAGAACCGACAGACAAGAGTGTTATATTATAAGAAAGGGGAAAAAATATAGAAAATTATATGCACATTATATCTTTAATAAAAGCTCACCAAAAAAAGTTATATTCAAAAAAGTTTTTGTTTTTTTCAACAATTTTCTACATTGTTTTTCATTAAAACAGCCTATTTATATACATTTATGGATTTAAGGTAAGGGACGAAACTTTTTAAGTCATAAAAAGGATCTGTAAATTAAAAAACATGTAAAGATAAATATTTTTAATTATCAGTTGTATCATTTTTAGTTGTAAAAAATTATCTAAAAACTGTGCTGGCTTCCATATTTGACTGATATCTAGCCCATCCTAAATACCAAATGATCATCATTATGTGAGCACAGCAACATACAGTTCTACGCCCCACCAAAATTATTGTAGGTACACTTGCAAGTATTTTCCCTGGAATTCGAGACTGATATAGTGTTATCATCATTAGAGTGCTCCAGCTCATGAATTGGCAATTCTTGAGAAGATGTAGAACTTGCAGATAGTGAAGATGGTGCAGTATAATTTACAAATAAACTATTACACTTTTGCCAACAAGGGTGACAAATTCTGTCTGATGGTCGGAGCTGAAAAGAAATAAAATCATTAGAAATATTTTTACATAATCATTTCCTTCGATGTTTATAGCATTTATTCTAGATAAAAAATAGTTTAGATTTTAATTTCGACCCAGGTAAAAACCCAATCAAAATCGAAATACATAATATTTGTGACAGCTCACAACAATTATTTAGTGCAAAACTAAGAAATCTCATACTATGACAACTAAAAAACACACAGAATAATGGATGATACAACAACCATTCAGGTACAAATATTTGTGTTAATCACACAAATAAACGCCCCAACCATTCGAACCCAGAACCTCTTGAGGTGCCGCAACCTTAAGTTCTGTGTAGACACCACTCTGCCACAGAGGTCATCATTTGGGTTTGATTTTATATAAATATTTTTAAAGTACAGACACCATCCTATTAGTTTTTAAATACTATCTATAGTTAATTACATGCTCGGTTTGTTTAGATGTTTTGCATTCCATACAAAGCATAATCATAATATAATGGTACATTATAATTGTCAAATAATTGACTTATTATTATTACTATAACTTATTTATTATAATTAAATGAATGTTGTTTCTACTTACTTGTTGTGGCATAATCCTTTTCGCAACAACAGATCTTTTGTCAGTATTGTTAACATACGAGTTCTTATACAATATGAAAGATCTTCCACAATGTATACATACATTTTCATTACCAATACGTGATTGACTTATTTCAGGCACTTCATTTATAGTAACAACCAACACTCATGACACACCACACTGTTGCTTGGTATCTGTAGGTAAAATGTAAGGGTTAATATTAACGTTTTCAGTGATCTATGTTGATATGTAAATACCCACAGCATTTTAGTCGTACATGCATCGAAATACTTACGTCTAACTACGAATAAGCCGAGTCAACAAGAATAACAGGTTCAGTCCAAGTTAAAAGCCGATTCAACATGTCAAACAGATTCTGGTCATAGTTAAAAGCCGGGTCAATAATTAAGAAGTTTCAGATTCAAGTTCGAAACCGGGTAAATAGATAGAATAATAACGAAAACAACAGAAAACACTGAACAACAAAGTGAACGAATTGTACCGCAAATGTAATGTTTATTAATGACTATGACAATTAAAAAAAGTGTCGCCATTAACAGATGTTAAATTGTTTCCATCGATTAATATCGATTGTTAATAAATAATAAATCATATGTTATACTATGATTATTATATCTTTACTAATTATAGTTATGTAAAATAATAAGGAAAAATATTTTTGTGCAGTACCAAAGAGAAAAATATTATAACATGGCGTATTTATTGTACTTTTATTCACTTTCACAACTATTGATTAATTCATAACGATTATCGATTTTCGACGGATTAGTTATTTTAACTTTTTACTGGCAATTTTTTTTGTAAATGGCGTACTTTTCACGTAATAGTCGTTGATTAACTTTACTAAAATTACTCATAACGGTGCTTTTTTTAAATCTATTCATAGTTGATAATTTAAAGTATTATAAAATATAAATTGCAATGATAATGTATTGCTTGTCGGCGACAAGCCGTATTTTGGCAATCCCATGGGGTTTCATCGCTTAGTAAAAATATTTGTTCTTAAAAATCACAATAGATGGCGGTACGTGTATCATTAAATATTTTACGTTTGTGAAAAGACCAGATTATAAAATAACCAGTATAATTTCTTAAAGGAAAAACAATTCCTAAGCTCGGAGAAATTAAATAGTGGGTTGTTTAATCTAGTTGTCTCACTTTTAAAGTAGAGTAGTAGAGTAAAAGTATGCTTTAAATATAAAATGGCTAAATTTTATTATTATTTTATTAAAAAAAATTCTTGGTGTTTAATATTTTTTTATTGACATTTTAAAGAAAAAATGAAAGAAAATAAACTTATGTTTAATAGTAGACACAAGAAACTGTTATAAGTATTTTATTGTGTGCTACGAATCAACGCCATCTATTGACGCTCATACGAAAATCCATAGAGTTGCCAAGCCCATTTCTAAGTGGCGCTTACTCACTTGCGGCATCTAGCGCCGACTGAAACTAACAAGAATTGTTGATTGTGTTATATGCCTGAAAGGTAATTTATGATATATTGTAATATAATAAGATCTTTGTTACCTTAAGACCATAGACAAATAAAGAACTTACTTATTTACTATTGAACTGACTACGAATATTACAGAGTTGTCAGAATTAGAGGTGTCCGAGGGCCCATTGGAGGCGTCCCACGCGCCTGTCTTGGCTCGTGCGTTGAGACCTTTAGCGTGTAGATTACGCGCTCTCTGTCTACAGAGGGTATCTCTGTCTGGCGAGCCGCTGCTGTGTTTAGGTATTATAACACTTATTACAATATAATATGGTGCAATATGCTATGTGTATAAAACTGATTGACATATCAACGCGCAGTCAATACTACAAAATATAGAAACTTGAAAATTTGCAACTGGCATAGCGTGAACACTATTTTTTATTTTTTTATTTATTTAGGATAACAAACAATTGTAGAATACATGTTTCATAAATTTGTACACTTAGAGATAAAAAATAAATTGCACAACCAGCACCGTTATCCGCAAAATAACTCTAAAACCTACGTAATTTAAATTAAACAGAAAATGATTCATAATTAAATACGGTTGCTTCTCATATACAGTACAGTAATTCCGGGAGTATAGGCATTCAATACAATAATACTATTAATATACCAGCGTCGACGAAATCACGACACCCGGAAAGTCGTCACCAGCCCTTTAACGTCCCCACTGCAGGGGCTCAAGCCTTCCTTAAGGATGGTTAAGGAGGATAGGCCATGACCCTCTACGCTGGCCCAATGCGGATTGGAGGGTATTAACGACTGCAAATGCAGCCGGGACCAACGGCTTAACGTGCCTTCCGAAGCACAGAGTAGCTCGAGATAATAATTTTTGGTCATCCATCCCGTGACCGACCCTTGCGAAAGTTGCTTAACGACTACGATCGCGGGCCGCGGCGCTTATCCCCTACGCCACCGAGCTACTCATATAAGGACATCATTTTATAAAACACACAATGAAAGGATTTTTGTAAATTTGCCGCTTGAGGGGCTAAATATAGGTAATAATAATATTTCTTTATTTTTCTCCACAATATCAAAAAATGTACAAAAGTGTAGAGCGTATCAAGGACCTCAGAATTTATCCTGGAGACTGGTGCCTGCACTGAGTGTAAAACCAGTTTTACAGGTCACCAGTCCCTCCAACATCCGGAATATAAGTGTAGATTTTATACACAATTTTATAAATGTATCTGTTAAAAATTTAATGATTCATCAGTGATTCTCCCATCGATCCTGCCAATTTATGTATTTATATAATGTGTTTTATTCATTTTAATACCATTTATGTTGTATATGCACACAAATACCCGCACAAACAAACATACGTATAAGTACTCATACAAGTACGTTTGGTTGTCTGTTGCATCTTCAAGCAAAAACAAATGAGAAGTCTTGATAAAATTTGGTACACTGATAATGTTATGCCTGAATCTGGTATAAGCCACTATTTGTTCCTACCAAAGTGAGAGCACATGGATGCATAAAATTGAAGGAAAGTAAGTAATGAGTAGCTCGGTGGCGTAGTGGATAAGCGCCGCGGCCCGCGATCGTAGTCGTTAAGCAACTTTCGCAAGGGTTGGTCACGGGATGGGTGACCAAAAAATTATTATCTCTAGCTACTCCGTGCTTCGGCAGGCACGTTAAGCCGTTGGTCCCGGCTGCATTTGCAGTCGTTAATACCCTCCGATCCGCAATGGGCCAGCGTGGAGGGTCATGGCCCATCCTCCTTAACCATCCATAAGGAAGGCCTGAGCCCCTGCAGTGGGGACGTAAAAGGGCTGATGATGATGATGAAGTAATAAATAATACAACACGCCAATTCTGGCGCTATCCCTACTATATATCTCAATCTTGGGATCATTGACAGGGAATTAATAATAGGTGAAATATTGTAGTGTGCAAAGTGTGAAGTTTTCAAAGTTTCTATGGTAGCCAAATAATAATAGGTTAATAGTTGGTAGGTTAGCTACCAACTTCTCTGTCATTTTAGTACTGACAGCATAGAAAGTAAAGTGAGCCAAATATTTAGATTCGTTTAACTTTATATTATTGGAAATATTATTAGTTTTCTCATGACTTTACCAAGAATCAATAAAATATATTTTTTAAACTGATTTCTTGGTCATTTTTTTATTAATAAATGTCAATATGCTGTTACCCTTAATACATCGGTAATGCCTTAATTTATGAAAAAAAAAATTCAACTTCAGGGTGTAAGGTGTGCACCCTGAAATTGAAGCGCAATATGTATAATGATGATCTTTTGACAGTCTTATTTTTATTTAACTCGCATAATATAAATTGGAATTGAATTTCTGTAATGTCTGTCTGTAATTATAAGTGTGCCTCAGGGATCAATATTGGGTTCATTACTTTTCTAATTGTTATCACTTTATATTTTATTTAGTACTTTATTAAAATAAATGTTTTGGTAACTTTTTGTTTTGTTTCAGTGATAGCTTTAAAAACGAACAGTTCAGTGCGAGAGTTGCGGCTGGGTGATAATCGTTTGACGGCCAGCGACGCGTCCCATATAGCCTCATTGCTTAGACTTAATACTAGGTTACAACTGTTAGATCTGTCCAACAACCAAATACAGGTAATTACCCCTCATTTCGTAGTTAATGAAGAAGTATAAACGAAAGCACTGAAAAAGGAGATCCACTAGATGGCGACTCTAGCAAAAGTTGATTTTTGCAGAAAACGAATGGATCAAAGACTAGTGATTTCTGTTCCTTTTAACTGACATATTAAAAAAATTTATATTTGCAAAGTTCGAAACATAGATATCAATACAATTACGAAAAAGTACAAATAGAATATGAGTTGTTTATTGAGTTTTGAAAACTAATTCACTTTTAAACATGAAAGAAAACCGGAAGGGTTGTCGTGGAGAAATCAAGAACGTACCGTAGCGACCTCTAGTTTTATTTCGGCAAATAATGGTTTTTTTTTTAAACTTTCTCATTGAGATTATAATTGTGTAACTTGACAATATTCAGAATTTTGTACTGTTTCATACTATTGTCTAACGTGAACCTTTGAAGTATATATATATAACTCAAAGGTGACTGACTGACACAGTGATCTATCAACGCACAGCCCAAACCACTGGACGGATCGGGCTGAAATTTGGCATGCAGGTGGATGTTATGACGTAGGCATCCGCTAAGAAAGGATTTTGATCAATCCTCACGGGGATAAATATGGGATAAAAGTTTGTATGAAACTTTGTCAATTTTAAACCGATCGAGCTGAGACTTTGCATGCATAAAGCTACTATGACGTAGGCAACTCCTAAAAAAGGATTTTGATAAATTCCATCACTAAGGGGATAAAATAGGGGATGAAACTTTATTTCAGGTATTTTACACGATATAATGAATGAAATATTCGTTACAAATGCTGATCAAAGTAATTTTACCACGCGGATGCAGCCGCGCCAAAAGCTAGTTTAGAATAAGAAAAGTTTCACTGGTGGAAAGTAAGTCACGAAATTCCACAAAAATAAACATAGATATACCGATTTTGTATTAAAAAATCGTATCTTATTAAATTTAAATCAACAGTCGAGTTTTCCTTTGTATCGCGTGAAACACGACCCGACAAGATGTGACTTCAAGTCGGAAGAAACATTTATACGTCTGTCAGATTAGTCTTAAACTACCTATTTATAGCAGATCCCTAGATGGCGCTCTTCTAAATTTATTTCTGGAGCAATATGCCTTTGTATGTTTGGCATCTTTAAATCTAAAATTATCTGACTGACGCTTTACTTAGAATTGTTAATTTTAATAGATTATATAAATTTTTAACTCATTATTAATTTGTGATTTAAAAATTGAAACAACGCCATCTACCGGGTGTTTTTTTAATATAGATGTCAAAAGATGTTAAAGAATTTCATAGACGAATGAAACAGCATCGCCATCTATTTCATAACATAAAATATATTAATATAATATTAACATATAAAATAATAAAGCAAAATAATAAGTTTTGTGTGCATATCGAAATGACGTCACGAATATGGAGATTTGCTTATTACGTAAACATTAGTGGAATATCGCACTCACTTTGTCTTGCCATAATAAAAAAAATAGAAGCCTTTTCACGTTGATGGTGACAATGTTGGTGGTTTTTGTACAGGACGCAGGAGCTGGTCACATATTCAATGCGTTAGTAGAACAGGCGGCTTTAAGTCCGCCGGCACCTGATCCTGCTTCATGTGAGTGTTATTATATATTATTAACGTCATTATCATCATGAGCCCTTTTATCCTCACTATAGGCTCAGGCCTTCCTTACGGACAGTTAAGGAGGTATAGACGACTGCAAATGCAGCTTGGACCAACGGCTTAACGTACCTTCTGAAGGACTGAGTCGCGAGAGATAATAATTTCTTGGTCACCTATCTCGTGACTGTCCTTGCGAAGGTTCCTTAACAACAACGATCACGGGCCGCGGCTACTATCCGACCGACTCTAATAATGTAATATTATTATATGAAATTCGCCTGGTTGTCTTAACACAAAAGCAAGGTTGGGAAATTCTGGTTTAAAAAAACATAATATTTAGAGTGATTGCTACCATGTACCTTGTTTTAATTTAGATATTCCGGAGCCATGATCACGGAGTAACTTAAGTTTTTGCGGTTAGTTACCAAAGGCAGATACGATCACACTCACGATCACAGTGAATCGAACTATACTCACGATCACAGTGAGTCGAGCAACAGTCATGATCACAGTGAGTCTAATAACACTCACGATCACAGAGAGTAACAAAACTCACGATCACAGTTAGTAGAACAACACTCACGATCACAGTGAGTCGAAAACCACTCACGATCACAGTGAGTCGAACAACACTCATGATCACAGTGAGTCGAAAAACACTCACGATCACAGTGAGTCGAACAACACTCAAGATCACAGTGAGTAGAACAAAACTCACGATCACATTAAGTCGAACAACACTCACGATCACAGTGAGTCGAACAACACTCACGATCACAGTGAGTGGAACAACACTCACGATCACAGTGAGTCGAATAATAAAGGGTTCCAAAGAAGGTACATGTAAGATAGATAAATCTGCTTATGACACTCACCCGAATAAACTAAAGTTACTCCGTGATCAACGGCGACGGAATTAAAACAAGGTAAATGGTAGAAATCTTGTTTTTAGCAATCATTACAATGTAAGTTTAAAACGACAGATTATTAATATATTTTTTATTACGATATCTACAGTAGGCGGTTACGAAGCGAGCGGCGTCGCCTTTCTCGTTTTATGGAACAATCAGCTGACAAGGAACTGTTCTGTGCACCTGAGTAAAGCGCTGGTAAGTTGGTTCTTATCACTGGGGGCATATGGTCGAAAATCATCTTAATACGCCTTTTAGAGCCTCTTTTAGGGAAAGTATTATGAAAAATTTACATGATTATATTAAATTACTATCAGATTATTTTCTGTTATTAAATAAATGAAAACATGTTATTGGTCATTCATTCAAATTGTTAAGCGAAAACAATCAGGTGACAGTTTGAGCTGTGACGTCATATTTTAATAACAATGTACTGTGGCCTAATTGTTTTATTTTAAAATCTGTTACAATATAATAAAAAATATATGAGTTATACTTTTTTTTTGGTTCAAACAAAAACTTCACTATAGAGGGTGCTAGTTTACAATTAAACACATATACTAGGGACTACTTTCTAGTACCACCGCCGTGGTTCAAAAATACGCCATCAGTGTTTCCATAGTTCTAACAATTATATAAAATAATAGAAATAAACTTACTACCGCGATGCCAAATCGCGCAACGCCATCTATTGATGGAAAGTAGAACTTTTACATCTTTATTAGAAAATAATGAATTTGAACAGATATATTTCATGTCATCATTATCAGCCCTTTTAAGTACGCCTCCACTGCAGGAGCTCAGGCTTTCCTTATGAATGGTTAAGGAGGATGGACCAGCGTGGGGGGTACGCTGGCCCAATGCGTGTTTCTAAGTACGGAGTGGCTCGAGATAATAATTTTTCGGTCACCAATCCCGCGACCGACCGTTGACCGCGAAAGTTGCTTAACAATAACGTTCGTTTGCCGCGGTGCTTATCTACTACGCCACCAAGCTTTATACATATTTCATGTATATCTATAAAATAAAAATAAAGTACTAAAGTATATTAAAGCCCATTTAGTTTACCATTCTAGCGATTGAAAACAGTATTAGACGAGTGGGCGTTAGTACCTTACATAAAAAAAGTCGGGGTGTACATTGCAGCTCGGTGGCGTAATGGATATGCACCGAAGCTTGAATAGTTGTTGTTAAGCAACTCTCGCAAGGGTCAGCCACGGGATGGGTGATCGAAAAAATATATATTTCTATCCGCTCCGTGTGCGGAAGGTCTATTTATTTATTGTCGTATACTTACAGCTAGATATATTTAACAATATAAAAAAATAAAAACAGGCAGACTGATATCTTTTACAAGCATACGCAACATTAAGTTAAGCTTCAATAAATATAAACTCACAAAAACGATGATTACGGGTCACGGTGCTCGACGTCGCTGTGCGTGCTGAACATGGGGCGGAACTCGCTCGGCGCCGAGTGCGTGCGCGCGCTGGTCGCGGGCACCGGCCTCGTGTCCGTCGGGCTGCAGGCGGCGCGCCTCACGCGGGACGCCGCGCCCGCCATACACGCGCTGCTGGCGCGCCACCACGCGCTGCAGGTACACGTGTACACACACACAGCCCGCCATACACGCGCCGCAGATACACATATGTGACAGGTTCGATGCTTAGGCAGACGAATAAAAGGCTGACTAAGTTTATAAAAAAGCTATACGGAAAAAGAAACCCTTTTCCTCGGGTCCGTTGTGTAATTTAACTTTAGTATATTTGATATTGTATATATTTTTCTTGAGTTCAAACTCGTGAGCATAAATTATAAAAAATAAAATGCTTTGATTGATATTAAATATGTATACAAAAAAACTAAAATACATATGTTATTAATTAAATTACTTACAATAAACGTAACAACTTTCATTATAAGAACTATAAACAGATACGCACAAATGACGAAGATATTACAAAATTGACCAGATGCCCATACGTTTTTAGCTACCGTTACTCTGTGTGACGTCACTTAATTGGTAGGAAATGTCGGCCGACTAGCAGTTTCACAAATACAGCGACGTATCTCCGAAAGTAATAAACGCAGACATAATGTTACTTCTACATTATTTCTCAGATATTAATGGACTATTTATTTATTAAATAAAAAGAGGTATGTTTCTTTTTGGCATGAATAAAGAATTAATGTTATTGCTTTTGCTGTTCAGAGAATAGATTTGCGGGAGAATCGCCTGGGCGTTGCCGGTCTGCAAGCTATACTGTCAGCTCTCAAGGAGAACACTGTCGTAATGCAGATAGACTTAGACGAGCCAGTGGTAAGTATAAAATAATTTTTCAATGCAGTTTCTCATAAAGCGCTATTTTTTTAATCCATCGTAAACACCGAAAGTGAGTCTTTAAACACGTGTTAAATAAAAATGTACTGAAATCCTTTACTGCACACGTGCTTAAAAGTATTTTTCTTTATTTTTTTTTTCTGAGCACCAAAGTATTTAATAAAAAATTGATGAAAATATGTTAAACTTTAAAGGCAAAAGTATTTCAAGGAGCCTAGAACGAATATTTTCAAATAAAAATGCATGACACGAAAACTTGTTCAAATATCACGTTTAATTTTAACAAATAATTTTTACCTTTAATACATACTTAGTTTTATTAACCTATATATTTGTATTATTTCCTCGCAGAAAGCATTTAAAAATGTTGTAAGAGACTTGAGCGTAAAAGGTTGTTCGGCAATTTGGCCCTTATTCGTAAAACCTTACTTTCCGCACTCGTATCTTAAATAACTATTGAGTTACTTAGTAGACCAATTATCATTTCACATTAAATTATATGTCATTTATACTACTAGAGGAAAAAGTTTGATTATTTGTTTGTTTGTTAGAATAAGCTCCGAGATTAATGGAACGATTTTTTAAATTATTTCACTCACTGGAAGCTACATTATATGCGGTGGACATAGAATATGTTTTATCCCAAGCAAATAAAGGGATGAAAATGGGATTGAAAGTTTGGGTAGGGCATTAAAATGTTACCATGGTAACCATTATAATTATGTCCATGGTATGATATGAATCGATATTCAAATTAACAGTTCTCTAGGCGGGCGAAGTCGCTTGCGGAAAGTTAGTCAAATATAAAATACAAATTGCTCAACTTCTTTTTCGATACAGTTCATATTATTTTAGATTCAATAACTCAATAACTATTACCCAAAGGAATCTACCAATCTGTCCGTGGTGGACAGCGAGGCGGCAACAATAGCTCGTCTAACACGCGACATCCGCGCCATATGTTGTCACAACGAGCCAAGATCTTCGCCAGAGAGGAGGGTCCACAGACGGATCAGCTTAACATGCCACACTGACCCGCCGCCAGAGGTAAACTATCTATTTCTATCATTCGAATCACAAATCGAAGCCGGTTCCCGTGGGAACTTTCGGTTACCGTCGGAACTATGAATGGTTCCCGTGGGAGCATTTAAATTTTTAGTGTAGTAGTAGTCTTCAAATGTATATATAAACTTGTGTTGTGTCGGTCAGTCCGTGGTGGAGGAGGAGCGTCGTGGCAGACTCCGCTCCCCCGCCCCCTCCCCCGCCGGCAGCCCCGTGCCCGCGCAACACTCGCGCTTCTCTGTGAGTATATACAATACACAAGTACTAAGTACTAATCTATACTACTGATTAGTGATGCGCCGAATATTCGTTTGGTACTCGGTATCTTTTTCATTATTTGTATTTGGCCGAATTATTCGGTTTTGACGCTGAATATGTTCGTTTTGAGTTCTATGTTCTATGTTCTTGTCTACACGACACGGTATAGAAATAAAAGACATAATTTCTTTTGTAATATTAATGTTATAAGTCAAAGATATTCAATAAAGAATGTGTACAATAAAGCTAATAAAAAAAATCAATTAAACTTCAATTAAGCATTTTTTAATCTGTATCGTGGAAAAAATTGGCCGGATTATCCGGTTTGGTAAAGTTTAAACCGAATAGTATTCGGTATTATTCGGTGAAACCACTATTCGGCGTATCTTTACTAATAATCAAAAAGTAGATAGTACAATATATAACATAGGGGAATGAAAATATACGTCAAATTTCAAACCGATTCTTTCTAAGCCCTTATGAAACTGACACCCGTTTTCACTTACCTAGAACATGGCATAGCTTAGTTAAGAAACGCCTAATCTTACGAATCGCCTAAGCAGATTAGTTTAATTCCAAATAAACATGTTTTTATTTTATCCTCTATTTCATTTGGATTTTATTCTTCCTTTGCCTTGTCTATATATTCATGAAATGTATTCATTCATCAAATATATTCATGAAAAAAAAAAAGAGAAAAAAAAAAGAAAAAAAAAAGAAATAGCAAAGTTTGTAAAAAAGTATATGGTTATATTTGAAGTAAATGAAGCTATAGGGGTAGATATAAAGATAAATTGTGTGTGCTACCACATAGATTGGCTCTTTATTCCAAAAAATGCTTTTTGTATGTCTATACGTATCACTACATAATATAACACAAAGTCGCTTTCTCTGTCCCTATATAGGGATATAGGTATATATATACTCGCTAGTTAACATAGGGATGTATGCTTAAATCTTTAAAACTACGCAACGGATTTTGATGCGGTTTTTTTCATAGATAGGGTGATTCAAAAGGAAGGTTTTTATGTATAATACAAGACAACGCGGGCGAAGCCGCTGGAGGAAAGCTAGTTTACAATAAGCTGCCCAAACACCTCACTGACATGACGTATTTATTATTGACATGATCTATACTGTCAGATTAAATTCTACGTATTTCATTAAATGTAATCTACATATAATATTAAAAAAAAACCTGGTATTACAAATGATATAACATAGTTATTAACAATAGATGTAATATCACTAAGGGTATGTTCCGATATACACTGCGACCACTGAACAGTATGACGTCAATTTAGTATACTGGAAGCCCGTTCCTTTATAGCTAGTTATACTGGTGACTTTTTAAAACGGAACGCAGTCCAGTATACTGTTAATCCTATTTTTGGCGCCATTTTCAAATTTGTTAATGCAAGGTGAATATAAATATAAAAATTCCCTCTTTTCAAAAGAAAATTGGAAAATTGTATAAAAAAATTATTTATCAATTAAATCCATCTTATAATAAACGTAAGTATTTTTTTTTGTTTATTAGAAACTTATCATTTTCTGATTCTGTTTCGACTGATCACGTGATCAAACGCACTGCGAGCACCTTACCTCGAAATCTCCAGTGCTCACAGTACAAATATGGCGGCAATTTATGACGCCATAAATTTCCCTATGGTACTGTAGCAGTGTACTGGCAGTCCATAACGGAACGGATTTTTCAGCAGTAAGACCACTGCGCAGTGCTCGCAGTGTATATCGGAACATACCCTAAGTAACTATGTAATATCATTTGTTCCATATTGTTGCAAATAAACAATTGAAATGAAATTAAATGAAAATATCTTTATTCAAGTAGGCTATTACAAGCACTTTTGAATCGTCCAAAAAAAATTGTTCCCCTACCACTTGTTCGGGACGTCTTTTAGCTGACAAGAAGAACAAGCGAAAGAAACTTACCAGCTCTTTATCATAAGCAATGACATTTACATAAATCATGTCATTACCAAAATAATATGTATTATCACAATAATAAATACAACTTTCAAAGTCTGTAGGACATAGGTTGTACATATAATTAGTCGTCATAGAACAAAGCGAAGGCTATCAATTCCATGCATTGCGATCCTTAAAATAATTATTGTAACGAGTATTTTCACATTCGTGACTAGTCATATTGCTCAAATGCCTAGCGCGAGGTGTCTTATAAAGCATGTCATAATTTTAGACTTTTCTGAATCTTGTTAGGCGATTCCTAGTCATTGGTGAAATGCATTTTCACTTTAGGCGATTCCTAAACATTGCAGAGACAGATTTAGGCGGCTCTTAAGTTTAGTGAAAACGGGCTTAAGTCACAAAATATAAGGCTGCATAGAAAACTATGCTTAATCATTTGATTATACGGTTTAGTTTTCTTTGAAATTATTTTTACGAGTAAAAGATCCGGTTTTGATAGAAAACTTTGAGCATACGTTTATAAATCTTTGGATTGAAGAAGCTGTTGCTATGAGGAAGTATTTAAAAATAAAACATTAGTTCCCGAAATCAAACTAGATGTCGCTACGGTACGTTCTTGATTTCTCCATGACGACCCTACCGGTTTTATTTCATGTATAAAAGTAAATTAGTTTTCAAAACTCAATAAACAACACGTATTCTATTTGTACTTTTTCGTATTTGTATTGATATCTAAGTTTCGAACTTTGCTAATTTCAGGTTTTTTTAATATGTTAGTTAAAAGAAACGAAAATGACCGTCTTTCGTCCATTCGTTTCCTGCAAAAATCAACTTTTGCTGGAGTCGCCATCTAGTGGAGGTGCTTTTTAGTGCTTTCGTTTTTTTTAAATACTTCCTCATTCCGCTGGATGCAGCTGGCGCAATGTCGTCCGTCGTGGAGTTCAAAGGGGGAGGCCTATGTTCAGCAGTGGACGTCTTCCGGCTGATGATGATGATGATGATGATGATGATGATGGTATGACGTCGACATTATATAAAATTGACATTGGCGCTAGAGTGCAAACTATTACATACTCTTTTTGGTTAAACTGGTTTATTATTTATAAGCTGCTGTAAGCAAAATTTGGAAACCATTATTTTAATAGTTCAATCTAAACGAAATGTGTTTTTTAGAGAGGCTAATGTTGATTGTACTTATCCAAGGTGACAAGAGTAACGCCAGAGAGAGAATCCTCGTCGGACAGTTCGAGTCCATCAACGCCCAGAAACTATTGTCCTGCCCCATCCAGATTTAAAGTAGTACAGGTGAGTTTTCTAGCTTATTTATTTTCAAATTGCTTAGTGCCTTCTCTATGGATTGAATAGAATTGGTATAGATCGCTCACCGCACGGGCCCAGTCCGGATTGGTGGGTGTTAACGATTGCTGATGATGAACCAAAGGCTTAGCGTGGCCAAAGAGTTTTTTGGTCACCCGTTCTATGATCTAGGGCTTCCAATTTTGTAATACCAAGATCTCGCGTCTTCTCTACCAATTCCGTGTTGCGAGATTATGGGCGCGGGACAGACTGACAAAAATACTAAACTAAATAATAATGTTACTAGCTAAGGTTCGGGATAAAAATTACCGCCAATTTAATTTATAATTCGACTTTATTCACTTAGCAAAACACACTTCGATTTCAGTATTTCACGTCATTACTGTTACTTTACAACACTATTCGATCTTCCAGATTCACTGTTCACAGTTCACAGTTCACTTCACTGGTATTGACTCTTGTATTCAGTTCACTAGTCACTGAAAGAATGCCGGGACGGGTAGTTCACCGCGTATTTGTAGAGGCTTAGGTATTACTTTACAAGCATCTAGAACATTCTAGGTAGGTCTTTACAAGCATCTAGAACATTTTAGGTAGGTCTTTTCAAGCATCTTGAACATTCTAGGTAGGTCTTTACAAGCATCTAGAACATTCTAGGTAGGTCTTTACAAGCATCTAGAACATTCTAGGTAGGTCTTTACAAGCATCTAGAACATTCTAGGTAGGTCTTTACAAGCATCTAGAACATTCTAGGTAGGTCTTTACAAGCATCTAGAACATTCTAGGTAGGTCTTTACAAGCATCTAGAACATTCTAGGTAGGTCTTTACAAGCATCTAGAACATTCTAGGTAGGTCTTTACAAGCATCTAGAACATTCTAGGTAGGTCTTTACAAGCATCTAGAACATTCTAGGTAGGTCTTTACAAGCATCTAGAACATTCTAGGTAGGTCTTTACAAGCATCTAGAACATTCTAGGTAGGTCTTTACAAGCATCTAGAACATTCTAGGTAGGTCTTTACAAGCATCTAGAACATTCTAGGTAGGTCTTTACAAGCATCTAGAACATTCTAGGTAGGTCTTTACAAGCATCTAGAACATTCTAGGTAGGTCTTTACAAGCATCTAGAACATTCTAGGTAGGTCTTTACAAGCATCTAGAACATTCTAGGTAGGTCTTTACAAGCATCTAGAACATTCTAGGTAGGTCTTTACAAGCATCTAGAACATTCTAGGTAGGTCTTTACAAGCATCTAGAACATTCTAGGTAGGTCTTTATAAGCATCTAGAACATTCTAGGTAGGTCTTTACAAGCATCTAGAACATTCTAGGTAGGTCTTTACAAGCATCTAGAACATTCTAGGTAGGTCTTTATAAGCATCTAGAACATTCTAGGTAGGTCTTTACAAGCATCTAGAACATTCTAGGTTGGCCTCAGACGAACCGGTTTATTCGAGGCATTACCTAAAAGTTCTAAAACGGCTACCCGTCTCTTTCTCACCGATATTTTTACCGGCTATCAACCTTAGGGCTTCGGAATCACTTTCCCAAATTGGAAGGAGGCGGTGAACCCTTCATTGGATACCACACGTTGTCTGTAAAGTTATTTCAGACTCCTACTGACTAAACAACGCTTTGAATACTTATGTGATTTATCTGAATTAAACAACGCAATGGCCTGTCGTAGGATGGGTGAACATTTATTATCTCTCCTCCGTGCTTCGGAAGGCACATTAAGTCTTTAGGCCCTCTAATCCGCATTGGGCCGCGTGGTGGTTCATAGCCCATTCTCCCAATTCCGTGTATAGGAAAGGCCTGAGTCTCAGTAGAGGACATTACTAGTCTGGTGATTTGTAGTTGAAAGGTTCTTTTCTTTTTTTTTTGGTATTCGTTCAGTTTTCAGTGATAAATAAATGAGGAATTATGTTGATTTGTTTCATTGTTTTATATGCCTTATCCAAATATTATTATTATTTTTTTTTACGGGATTGCCCATAGGCAATGAAACTAACAATATTTAGTAGAATTTGTATAGAAAAACATGTGACAGGTGGGGGGAGGGGGGGTGTTTAAAAATCATGAATTTTGTGTGACGTAATTTATGGACGACCGAAATCTACGAGTATATCTATCTATACAAATACATAAATAAATTTGGAGTGTCTTTTTGTAATATTAAAATAAACGCTCATCCTCCATAACCATCCATAAGGAAGGCCTGAGCCCCTCCAGCGGGGATGTAACAAGGCTGATGATGAAAATAAACGCATTTTACTAAATGTACATCTGTCTGTGTGTTTGTTCCGTCTAATCTCTGAAACGGCTGGACCGATTTTGATGGAACTCCCACACGGAGTGGCGGGCATAGCTAGTATTGAAAACTAACTAATTATATTTGTTTACAGGTGTCTGAACCGCCTCAGATCCAAGTGCATCCCGCTTCGAATCCGATCAGAAAGAATTCGTCCCGTTTCTCAGTGACGAGAAACTACGACACCATGTATAACCCAGTAACTCCCCCGCCCTCCCCCGCTCCCCCGATAGTCCCATCGCCGACCATCGAAACAAAACTCATTGATAGTACGAAGCAAACGAAGATTGAAGATAGAATAACTGATGCAATCAAACCAGAACCAGAACCCGATACGGATAAAGTTGAAAATCAGACTGAAAGTGTTAGCTTTAATGTGTCAGAAACGCCAGTTATTAGTGTTAGTGAAAGTGTTACGGTAGAATATGGTGATAACAAAACTAAAGACAGCGCTGTAATGAATGATGATACGAGTTCGGTCGATGAAGTTATCGTTTCTGATGCTGAGACTGTGACAAGTGGTAAAACGAGTGAGATTGTGACAATAGAGACTGATAATCAGCCGGATAAAGTTTGTGACGGAGAAATAATCAGTTCAGGAACCGAAGTTCCGGTTAAAGATAAGACAGCGTTGAAACAGATCGAAGCGATCACCGAGGATTTGGGTAATCTGATCCAGGAATTCAAAGGTATGACCGTTAAGAAAGTGAAAAGTGACTGCACACAAACTGAAATTGTTAATAGTAAATTAGATGCATACATTGTACCTGTTAGCGTTATACGTGAGAATGTAGTTCTTAAGAAAAATAAAAGCGAATCGAGCCTCGACAGTCCTGATCTAGAAGTGTCCAGGCTAATGAATAAGAAATTAAGCGGCAGCCCGTTCTGCGACAGCAGCTCTTCTCTAGAAATTTCTGGAAGCTCCGTGGAGAGTCTCAATTTAATGGACAATCAGCAAATTAAACCGTTAATAATATCTAACGATATGGAACTGGATAGAAGAAAAACCGACCACGTTGCATTGTCAACGGAGAGCAGCTTAGATTCTAATACTAGTGAAGTGACTCCTATAAACTGTAACCTTTTAAATATGTCGGTTAGCTCAAACGAAAGCGTTTCTCCTATTATATTTGGGAAAAGTAAAAAAATACACGACTCCCTATCAAGTTTGGAAGCTAGCGTCAGTTCTTTAGATTCTTGTAGGCACGACAAAGTTATGATGACATCAGCTGATTCCGGTATAGAATACTCGTTGCAGAATACTAATGAAGGCAAAGAGAACTCTTCGAATGAGGGCACCCTCACTAATAATTCTAGTTTAAATCAATCTGTTAAACATCCTGAATGTATACAAGAAACTATTACCGCTCCTAAGAGAACGGCAAGCTTATTAGACGTGCCGGCTTTAAAAAGTAAAGGTATAGGAGAGAGAATGCGTAAGATATCATGGGTGGCTCCATCGCCAAGTTTCCATATACCAAAACCGGAGCCAGAGAAGGAGTTAAAATTGAATACGCACTTGGAGAAGTTGCTGAGCCTTTTCCAGCATCCGCTGTTTTCCAGAAGTTCGAATGAAGAGGAGAAGAAATCTAATACGCCGCCTAGGAAAGATTCCTCGCTGACGAGCTCGTTCTGGTCTTGGGGCAGTTCTACGGAGAAAGACAAAGATGATAAAGAGGACAGAGATTCTTCGGAAGCTACGGACTCTACTCTGTCTGAAAGAGTGCAAGTGTCGTTCGTTGACGAGTCTTTCTCCAGAAAGTTGGATAGTAAAACACCTTCGACGGATACAGACAACACTCTTAGCGAATTCCAGACGTTTCAGAATTCAGAAACGAGCGAACCGTCGCAAGAGGATAAGAAATATAAAGTTACCGACGCCACCGATGACTCTTTAGTACAAAAATGTTTAGTTTTAAGTGACAACGCGTGTTTTAACGGCAACAAGGATTTGCCCAAAACAAGTGATAATACAGATCTCAATAAACCCAACGACTTAAATAAAAACTACGATTTGAACGCCGGCGATTCTAATAAGAATCCCGATTTGGAGAAAGGGCCCGATGTTAAAGTGGAACCGATCAGGCCTAGATCGTTTGCCGCTGTCCTGAAATCATCGGGCTCGGAGAACTCTTTAGATAAACAAAACAGTCCGGAGGCCGGTCAGCCTGTTGATAAACTACCCACCAAAATTATACGTGGTATTAAAGAGAACATTAGTCCGGAAAACACTTTGACTTCAAGCATGACCAATACTAAGACTTTAGCTTTAGAGCTGAGCGAGAGACAAGTGAAGAATCAGCCTATAATAAACACTGTGTGGGAGGTATCAGCTCCTATTTTAGAGAAAAATGTACCTAAACTAGACGAGATTAGGACACAGAGTGATTTAGCACCGATAGCTACTATAGAAGAAACGTGTTGCGATGATAATGCTTTAGATTTCATTGATGATCCGAAATTCGATGAGAAGAATACGTCAGCCGACAGCGGAGTTACATTAGAGACTACAAATGAGAAGAAATATGACAAATTCCATTCGGTTACGACTGAATTAGAAAACGTTGATTTGGGAAAAGACGCATTATCGTATCTCGCGTACGAAAATAAAGAATATGACCAAGATAAGACTACTTTAAAACCGCCACAATGTTCTCTAGCTCAAGAATTGCAAGATGCTGAAATAAAAGAAATGTTGGATCTATCCCCTGAACTGATAATAGATGAAGCTATAGAAGTACCCGAGGTATTTACTGTGAAAGAGATGAAAGGTCTTAAAACTTCACCCGTGATCCCGGAGAGAGCTAAGATCAAGAAGGCCAATTCGTTAGAAGAGCTAAGTCAAGAGAATGACAGTCCTAAGACTAAGACGATAGCATTCAAAGTGCCCGAGATATCTTCAACGATTCCAAGAGATATACCAGAGAGGAGAGGTAGATTGAGAACCCGTAGTGGTTCCAGTCCGAAGTCTCTGCCGGAGAGTTTAAATAAACCGTGTCCGTTAACAAAAATGGACAGTTTACTGTCGAAGAAGAAAAAGAAAGTGTCTTCCTTGGGGAAAATGGCTAAAGATTCTTTGTTAGCACTGAATATGAGTGAAGATGAGATCGCTGAATTCAGACGTTCATACAAACTTACCTCTGTGGAGAGTTTGAAGAGTTTAGAATCTGTTTCCGAGGATGCTCACTCGCAGAACTCTATGGATTACCGATGTAGGTCATGCTTGAGGATGAGTCAGGAGAGCTTGATGTCTCTAGATTCTATTAATGAAGATTGCAGATGCAGAGAAGACTGTGAGAAACCCGGCCACTCTAACGCATAATGTCAAATTTCAACGGTGACTCGATGAGAACTCTTGTAAATGTTATTCGTAGTACTCAGTTACTCGACTTCTAAATGAACTGTTAGATACATATTAACCTTAACTGTTGTATTAAAATTTATGAACTTTATTACGAAGCAATAAGGATATAAATTGGTAAATTAACGATTGTTTATATCCTTGAATGTTCGATGTTGTGTCAGCGGTACTAAGTCTTGTTTTGACGTTGTATTGTTTTGACTCTTTAGGTTCTTTTTTTTAATTATTATTATTTTAAATTAATAATATGATAGTATCGTACACTGTGTGTACAGAATTATAAATATATAAATATTAACCGACCGCGTTCAGATGGTAATAATCAGTAATCGGAGTAGTTGGTATCACTTTTTTTTTTTACTTTTATTATAGATGTTATTAGAAGGAATAGCATGGATAAGACACTTATCCGGATTCAACCGAATATCATTGTTGGTAGTGTTATGATAGCTATTCTATTTTAGTTTTTGAAATCGTTCTGTGAAGCCTTCACTTCAATTGATATACATTTAATAATTATAATAGACAATAAATTGGGGAAGGTATGTCCATATTATATATATGTTTCAGATCTACCTAATCATACGTTAACACTGTTTTTAATTGACTAAAAGTGTCAGTTTTGTAATTGAACAAGAATTTTCTGCCACCTTTATATATGATAACTATTTTGAGACTTTTCAATGTCAATTTCATTATTTTGAGTCTTCTGTACGAATAATTTTGTTTAAAAAACATATATTCGATGTTCGATCGTTCTGTTTAATATATAGATAGATATTCGAAGACTTGTACGTGTACTACTAGATGAGGTATATGGTCGCGTGTTCCCTAGGGAACTGTTAATTGACACGGATATAAATACAATGACAAATTGTACAGTAAACAATGGTTACTGTGGTAACGTTTTAACTCCCTACACAAACTTCCAATCCCGTTTTCATCCCTTTATTTGCTGTTTTTTCGGGATAAAATATATCCTACGTTCACCGCGTATGATGTAGCTTCCCGTACATATGTGAAAGAATTTCTAAAATCAGCCCAGTAGTTTCGGAGCTCTCGAATTCGAATTCGTAGCAATCAAACAGACAATCTAATCTTTTCTCTTTATAATATTAGTATAGATAATATATTATGCACTAACGAGTTTCTGTCTCGATTGGAATAACAATAAGCATATCTCGTTTAGTATTATACGTAAGTCTTTATATTATGACGTCATATTTCATATATTTCGTCAATGTCCTCAATATTACAACCGAGGTCTTAATTCTGCTAATAAAGACACCTCGATGGCGTCTCAATTAATTGCAATTTGCCGTAAAGTTTCTCGATTTTAAACCTTAATATATCGTTTGTAGAGTTCAAAATCTACTGCATAATATTTATTATTAATTTACCATTCTATCCAGCTGAAGTCCAATATTAGTATAATGTCTTCGTGAATCTTTTGTGATCTAGTAGCAATAAAAGTATGAAAATTGTTGTAATAGGGCGCGTTAATGCAATTTTCTGTCGCCAGATAGCAGCACCAGAACATTTATTAAACAGTTTTTTATAAACATCAAGTGTTATGCACAAAGTAAAGTAATCAACATAGTAGGAATATATATATATAATAACCAATTTGTAGGCGATTAAAAACTATAAACTTTACATCACAAAAAAAAACAAAATAAATAAAAATCATTATACGTATTTAATTAATTTTGCATTCATAAGCGCAACCGGAAAATATTCTTAATGAAAATTACTTAAAAAAATCCACTTTGCCCCTGGCACTCTGAGATGGGACTAAAAATATAAATCCTCAACGGAGGCGGACTTAAAACCCCACTACAAGCTGCGCGTTACCTACCCGGGCTGCTAGCAATCCGGGGCAACTAGGTGGAAGCCGGATTTTTTGATTTTTTATAATAAGAAACAGTGTAATTTAATCTAATAAGTAGGAGTGTTTAAAGGAAAAAAAAGTAATAAAAAGTCTACTATCACTACTCCACCGAGCTGCTAAGTACGTAATGTTACTTTAAGTGATTTTACCTGTGAAAGCGTCATTGTTATAATAACCAGAGGTCGGAATTAGGTAGAGTTATTTATGTACTTGCATCGAAATGTTGATATTAATGTGAACCTTCCCGGGATTTAGATAGTTTGAATGTGGTAGAAAGAGACACAATCTAGTACATTACGTTAAGTGGGGAGTGCTCCGCATTTGCGCTATTATATGCTTTTGTTCTCACAAGCTATGTTGTGCGAACTACAAATGTGGCAACATCGCGCGTATTCGTATTTTGCAACTTTGGACATCCGATGTCATTGATGTAAGTTTGGCAACGTCGTGCGTGCAGTAGTTTAAATTGTGTAAAAGTAAATAACTTTTTATTTAAAAAATCACGGGAGTTTTTCTGCTCTTTAAAATTAATCTCGGGATTTGAGGCATATCCACTTTATTCTTTCGCTGTATGAAATCAGTGTAAGTACATGAATAACTCTACCTAATTCTGACCACTGATAATAACGTAAACCTTAGCAGAATTAGGACCAAGTGGACCTAAACATTGCAGTAAAAAAAGTAATATAACAAGGTACAATTAAACTCGACTAATACAATATATATACCAAACTACACTTACCAATGAGGAAAGTACTTAAAAACAAATTAAAATAAATGACCCTAGATGGCGGTACTGTGTCTGTCAATATTTGACACGAGACGATGACGTCACAATTTATTAAGAGACAGTAATTTCCGTTCCTTTGCACGTAACGTAATAAGTTACAGTAATTTTCCGTTAAAAATATATGAAATTAATTTTCGAAAGAAACGCGTTAATATATATTATACGTATAAATATAAATATGGCTTAATTATTACATCAAAGATGATAATAACGCAATATCATACGGACACGCAGACAATAGAGATATATACAAATTTTATTTTAGTCTGTACGTCAGGTATTAATATTAAACGCGTATTTTTTTTCGTAATTTCGGTGACACGATACGATTTGTAATAACAACATAGTTGTGACGTAACGACACCCCCAACTTTAATGTTTATTATCTAAGCCAGTTCTTGTTAAATTGAAATGAAAAAAAAAATACGTATCTTATTTTATTATATTCTATGTGACTGATGGTCTAAATAGAATTTCTATATTTTTACCCAGTCTTCATACCTATTTGATTGAATATTACAGTAAGTAGCTTTCTTATTTTATTGAGATCTGGCTGTATGGCTAAGTTCCTTCGTCTACTCCAACAGACGAAACATACTACTGCTAAGTTTCATTAAAATCAAATACATTGTTAACGTGTTATCTAATTTTTATAACTTAACAATGATCAATTACTAATATATTCGACAATTTTGTAAATAAACTTCATTAATAAAAATATTTAAAAGGGCAATTCTATTTATGAGGTCGAGTTTCTTATTTAATCAATACTAGTTGTTTCCCTGCGACTGCGTTCGCGTAAATTATAGCCTATTATCACCCGCGTATGATGTAGCTTCCTAAAGGTGAAAGCATTTCTAAAAAAATGGAGCCTATTACAAACATACAATTAAAATTTTCTTTATAATGTTAGTATTAATTTGACTAGTCTAACGTCCCGCACGCGTAATGCAACGCATTGTTTGTCAGAAACGCTCTGACGCTCAAAACTAGTTTTGGCCAAAATGGCATATGTACTTTAAGGATTAACTAATCATTTTTATTATTTTTTATGAGTCCAAAACAGACAGTTTCAGTTGAATTCATGCATAATACATACTTTAAAAAATTGTCGAATATATTCGATGAAAGAAAATTGAAATATTGTCATTGGATGTGGATTTTTTTTAAATACTACCAGCTATTGTTTATTATTTCACATGTTCAGTGGTAAACTAAATAACTGTACAATTAAAGAGATCTTTCGAGAATAATTCCTGAATGTATAAAGCATGTTTTGATGTTTAAAGAAATTTTGTTAGGCAGTCATTTCATAAAATGACTAAGCGGGGATTTAATCAAACTACATAGGTATTTTTAAGAAGCAACCTGTTGATTTATGATATTATTATTTGTATAGTTGCCTTTTCGAATATCAAACGTGTCGTTTATTTATTTTGTTCACTTGAAACGTCTGTGGCTTCTTAATGAGTTTTATTTAGACTTTTTAGTCGTTTTGTGAAATGTCTGCGAACATTTTTTTAAGTTAGATACGAATTCCACTTGATTTTGTGTAAAGAAACGTGATATTCTTGTAACAACAGAGTAATAGATCACAAACCAAGCGTTCAGAAAGAAAGCGAAATGTTATTTATACATATTTACTACGATAATTGATTTCTCATCGACATTGGTATCAAATAGGCATTCTATTAAATCATATTTGTGCTATCTTTCGAATATTCAAGTACGTATTCAAGTTCTGAATGATTAAACTAATTTTGACCACTAGTTGTATTATAAGTGGTCAAAATTGAAATTGATTCGCAAATTTCATTCTATATTTATCACGTCATCTCATTGGAAAATGTCAGAATGCGCCGTCGATTCTCGTAGTAGATAAAGGATTTGAAGTACTCGGCTCGCTTCAACTGAGCGAAGAAGAAACAATTATATTTCGACTTTATAAAATTAGTCTACTGTATTTGAGTATAATAAATACATTTTTTGTGGAATCACTGAAATATTTGTTCGGTCAAATCGTTGAAATATATTTTTTTAGCCGAAACGTTGAAATAAATTTTTAGTCAAATCATTGAAGTGAAAAGCGTACACGGAGCATTATTGTTCGGTCATTCGTCGTATATATGGACACAGTTAAGAGAATTAATATTAAAATAAACACTCACAGGTAAACTATTTTTAAATTTATTCAGTAAGTTTTTAAGTTTTTCAAGTTTTCCCTTTATTGGTTACACTAGCGCCAGAGTATAGAAAGAAGAAAAAGAAACATTTATTGATCTCACAAAGGCACAAATAAGATAGTACATTATTAGGAACACGTTAAAGATACAAAAGAAACAATAAGGTACATAATGATATATAAAATAGAAAGTAAGTGAGATCAAAAAAGTAAAAAGTATGCTAGTTAACCAAATCGAGAGCGCGTAGGATCGACATTCGGTTGGAGAGTATTAGTGCAGATTATGGTAAACGTGATGTGCGGTTTATTGTACGCACAGTAAGCATGATAGTTTGTCTGTCACTACGAAACTTCATAATTTTGTAAAATTAAAATTCTATGTTTTGTGTTAAAAAAAATACCGTTAAGATACTAACGGCTGATTCTGAATTGAGAAAATTACAAATTCTGGACTCATTAT